AGAGGCCTGAGGGGGAGTGAGGCCGAGGAGAGAGGCCTGAGGGGGAGTGAGGCCGAGGAGAGAGGCCTGAGGGGGAGTGAGGCCGAGGAGAGAGGCCTGAGGGGGAGTGAGGCCGAGGAGAGAGGCCTGAGGGGGAGTGAGGCCGAGGAGAGAGGCCTGAGGGGGAGAGAGACCCAGGGGAACGGGACAGCTGCCTTGACCTTCTGGGTCCTGTCTCAGAGTCGTCCTGGGATCGTCTCACGGCCGGATCCTGCTTTGGCTCCTTGGAAATGTCAGTGAGGTCAGTCTCCGAGCAACTCCTCCACAGAAAGTTGTGGCGCTGTTTACTGCACACAGAGAGAGACAGATAGAGAACGTAAGACACTTATGGGGAGAGAGACAGAGAGAGAGAGAGAGAGTGAGAAAGGGAGAGATTTGTGTTCCCTTAGCCAAGCTGTTCCTGTACAGTTACAACACTGGTATCTACCCGACAATGTGGAAAATTGTTCAGGTATGTCCTGTACATAAAAAGCAGGACACATCCAAACCGGCCAGTTACTGCCCCATCAGTCTCCTCTCGATCATCAGTAAAGTGACAGTCCCTAACAGTGCTACCAAGCACCTGCTCAGCAATAACCTGCTCAGTGATGCCCAGTTTGGATTCCCCCAGGGCCACTCAGCTCCTGACCTCATTACAGCCTTGATTCAAACATGGACAAAAGAGCTGAATTCCAGAGGTGAGGGGAGAGTGACAGCCCTTGATATCAAGGCTGCATTCAACCGAGTGTGGCATCAAGGAGCCCTGGCAAAACTGGCATCAATGGGTATCAGGGGGCAAACACTTCGGTGGTTGGAGTCATACCTGACACATAGGAAGATGGTCGTGGTTGTGGGAGGCCAATCATCTCAGCTCCAGGATATCTCTGCAGGAGTTCCTCAGGGTAGAGTCCTAGGCCCAACCATCTTCAGCTGCTTCATTAATGACCTTCCCTCCATCATAAGGTCAGAGGTGGGGATGTTCGCCGATGATGACACAAGGTTCAGCACCATTCACAACTCCTCAGGTACTGAAACAGTCCATATTCACATGCAACAAGATCTGGACAATATCCAGGCTTGGGCTGACAAGTGGCAAGTGACATTCGCGCCACACAAATGCCAGGCTATGACCATCACCAATAAGAGACAATCTAACCACCGTCCCTTTACATTCCATGGTGTTACCATCACTGAATCCCCACTATCAACATCCCGGGGGTTACCATTGACCAGAAACTCAACTGGACCCACCACATAAACACAGCGGCTACAAGAGCAGGTCAGAGGCTGGGAATCCTGCAGCGAGTTACTCCCGTCCTGTCTCCCCCCAAAGCCTGTCCCACCATCTACAAGGCACAAGGCAGGAGGGTGATGGAATACTCCCCACTTGCCCTGGATGGGGGCAGCTCCAACATCACTCAAGAAGCTCGACACCATCCAGGACAAAGCAGCCCCCACTCGATTGGCACCACATCCACAAACATCCCACTCCCTCCCCCACTGACGCTCAGTCGCAGCAGTGTGTACCATCTACAAGATGCTCTGCAGAAATTCAAAGATCCTCAGGCAGCACCTTCCAAACCCACGACCCACTTCCATCCAGAAGGACAAGGGGCAGCAGATACATGGGAACACCACCCCCTGCAAGTTCCCCTCCGAGCCACTCTCCATCCTGACTTGGGAAATATATCCCTTTTCCTTCAGTGTCACTGGGTCAGAATTCCTGGAATTCCCTCCCTAAGGGACATTGTGGGTCAACCCACAGCACAGACTGCAGCGGTTCAAGAAGGCAGCTCACCCCCACCTTCTCAAGCGGGGCAACTAGGGACAGGGCAATAAATGCTGGACCCAGATAGTGAGGCCCATGTCTCATGAGGGAATAAAACAAAAAAACAGTGCAAATGAATGAGAGATTACAGAATCTCATATTGACACAGCAAGAGGGAGAGACAGAGAGAGCGTAACAGAATGAGAAAGTGAGAGACAGAACATGAAACAGATAGAGAGAGAGAAACAGAGCGAGAGTATGAGTGAGAGATAGTTTGAAAATGTAAGAGACTGATGGATAGAGATGGCTATGGAGAGAGAGGGAGAGGCAGAATGTGTGAGAGAGAGAGAGTTAGCAAGCAAGAAAGATACAGAAAGACTCAGATGGAGAGAGAAGGACTGGGAGGGAACAGGAGAAGTGGGTAAGGAGAGAGGCAGGGAAGGGTGGGAGACAGAAACACAGAGAGAGAGATAGAGAGAGAAAATAAAACAGAAATGAGAGACACGTACAGGAAGTGAAAGAGAGAGAGACAAAAGAGAGATGGTGCTAGAGAAAAAGATAAAAAGATAGAGAAAGAAAGAGAAAGAGAAAGAAGAAGGACAGAGAGAGAGAGAGAGAGACAAAGAGAGATGGTTAGATAGAAAGATAGAAAGATATAGAAAGATAGGGAAACAGAAAGAGGAAGGACAGAGAGAGAGAGAGAGAGACAAAGAGAGATGGTTAGATAGAAAGATAGAAAGATAGGGAAACAGAAAGAGGAAGCACAGAGAGAGGGAGAGAGACAAAGAGAGATGGTTAGATAGAAAGATAGAAAGATATAGAAAGATAGGGAAACAGAAAGAGGAAGGACAGAGAGAGAGAGACAAAGAGAGATGGTTAGATAGAAAGATATAGAAAGATAGGGAAACAGAAAGAGGAAGGACAGAGAGAGAGAGACAAAGAGAGATGGTTAGATAGAAAGATAGAGAAAGATAGGGAAACAGAAAGAGGAAGGACAGAGAGAAAGAGAGAGACAAAGAGAGATGGTTAGATAGAAAGTTAGACAGATAGGGAGACAGTATGAGGGAAGGACAGAGAGAGAGAGATAGAAGGAGTGACAGAGAGAGAAAGGGGGACAGAGAACTCCCTGAAACCAGACACTGTTTCCAATCAGATTTGACAGAGAACACAGATAACTCACCTGGCATTCAGAATTCCCTGATAAATGCGGAGCTGGTTGAGGAAACCAGAATTGGGTTTGACAACTCTACGCCGTTCCTTAACGTGGGAAAAGGCTTTCTCAAGATCCCAGCCATACTGTTTCATGGCGTAGGCAATGACAGTGGATGCAGATCGACTAACTCCCATCTTACAATGAACCAAGCAGCGTAAACCACTACAACTACAGAGAGACACAGACACAGACACATCACATCTCAGCGCTGAGGGAGAGCCGCACTGTCGGAGGGTCAGTGCTGAGGGAGCGCCGCACTGTCGGAGTATCAGTACTGAGGGAGCGCCGCACTGTCGGAGGGTCAGTGCTGAGGGAGCGCCGCACTGTCGGAGGGTCAGTGCTGAGGGAGGGGGCGCTGTCGGAGGGTCAGTGCTGAGGGAGCGCCGCACTGTCGGAGGGTCAGTACTGAGGGAGCGCCGCACTGTCGGAGGGTCAGTGCTGAGGGAGCGGGCACTGTCGGAGG